TTGCAAAAAAAAAAGAGGATGAAGAACAGCGTTTCTCTTCCCATCCTCCTATGTAAAAATCAAGTCTCTTCAGCATATCTCAGTCTGTTGGATTGTCAAACAAGAAAATGCTGTTTGAATCTCTTCCCTGCTTCTCCTATTCCTGGTATTTGCACATAAAACAGAGGGGGGGGGGAAACATGGTGAGATCCATGATGGCACTTTCAGTCATGACACTGGTACAATTCTTCTAAAATCACTTTTGTTGATTTATAACCTGCAAAGGCAATTCACTAATTCAGTTCTTAACTCAAGTGAAAGACTAATCCTATCAAAAGTATCCCTGTTCCATTATCTCTAGGATAGAAGAGTTTTGCTACATTCTCCCTTCAATATTTAAATGCACAAACAAAAGCCAACATAAATCCTTTCCTAACAGATTTTAATGAATTAAGAGGACATTTGCCTTAAACGTTGAAAAATCAAGGCCTTACAACAATAGGCATCAGTGAGAATCAGGTGAAAAGGTCCTCTTTGCCTAAGATATATAGGCCTTCTCAAAATTAAGAGGTAAACCTGTAAGTTGGAAGCTATTTCAGATGGAAGATGGAGATTTGCACATCTGAAGGATCCTCCCTGCAAAGCTTCCTTGCACAAACATCCCCATCAAGAGAAGAGAGGTGCACTAGGGAGAATATATGGTTTTAAAATGTCTTCTGGATAGGCTAGTTCCTTTCATTCAGAGAATTGTATTTAATGAATAAACAGCAATTCTTTATGAAAAAGGAGTCTTCCTTATCCTTACTTAGAGACCTTGAACAGGTTTACAGTAGTCAGAACATAGGATTTTAGTCCCAATTGCTATTTTATGAAAACTAGGCCCCAGATTCTTGGAGTTGTCATTCATATTGATAACAATCATGTCCAAGGACCACCAGATTTAGCAGAATCCAGGTTTCTTTTACAGTCACTATAAATACTAGATTCAAAGGCCTACCTGTATTGGGGCTGTGCTGAAGTGGATCTTGCGATTAGGGACAGCCTCATCCTCTTCTGACAGCCCAGGGATCTCGACACAGCTAGATTCTGGTGCATACAGTCCATCACCATCCTCATCTTCATCCAGCCCACTCCCTCCCGAATCCTCCCCCAGTCCACTGTAGGCACTAATGTCCACCAGGTCAGCCTCAGAAAAGTCCTCCTTCTTAGACTCATCACCTAGGTCATTCTCCTCTGGTCCCTCAGTCTTGGCCACTTCCTCACAGTAAGTGTCTGCCAATGGGCCTGGAGTTTCTAAGTATCTTTCACCACCCATCTGGCCATTTTCCAAGGCCGCATGCACTGTGACCTCAGCCTGAATCACCTCGGCCCTGAGAGGGTCAGGCGCCTTAGAGGCCTTGCTGTTCTCATCTGCCACTGCTGCTGCTGCCACCGCCACCTCAGCTGCCTCAAATTCCTGTTCAGAGTCTCCACTCTCTTCCACTTCCACAGGCTTGATCTTGCGCACTTCTTGGACCTTCTGAGGACGTAGCCCCATGTTGGAGTCCTTATCCCCTGCCTTTGCTGCTACTGACGCACCAGGCACCAGCTTGTTTTGGGCTTTGTCAGTCTCAGGCAACTTTGCTCTTACTTGGAGTGCAGGCCCATCACTATTCCTGGTTTCCACCTTGGGCCCTCCTTCTGGAGTCTGGAGGAAAACCCTGGACCTTTTGCTAACAATTTTGGAGTTGAGAGGCCCAACTTTGCCAGGGGCTTTATGGAGGTTATTCCTCAGGTCAGCTTTCTCAAAGACAGCACTGAGTTGGCTTACAGTGGGAGAAACAGCCTCTGTGTCTAGCTTGTCTAGGGATTCTGTGCTGCCGTTGAACCTCACCACCACATCCAACTTCCGGTCTTGGAAGCCAGCTCTCTCCTTCCTCAGAAGTAGTTTGTTGGTGGTCTCCTTCTCCTGGAGACTCCTCTCGAAGATCTTCCTTGTCTCCTGTAGCTTGGACAATGGCTTATCTGTTTTGGAGTCAAACCGGCTCACCCTCTCAGATACGCTGGTGCCTAGTTTCAACAATGCACTATGGTCTACATTCTCGTTCAGACTGCTGGCCCGGGGCAAGGACAACCGGACCGGCTTCTCCTTCATCTTCGCCAGATCAACTGCTCCCTCCCCTGGTGGCGGTGCAGTGCCCATTTGCAGGAACATATTTTTGATCCGATGGACATTAGATCCATACTTCTTGTTCCTGGCTTTCTTGGCCTCCTCACTGTCAGCTTGGCCCAGGGCATCTTTGGAGGCTTTCAGAGCTTGGATGCCAGCTTCATAGGCATTCCGGTGAGGTGAGGCACTCCTCAGGCCGCCTCCAGCCCCATTGCCACTGGTGGTACTGCCCCCACTGCTGCTGGTGCCACTGCCCCCAGGATTATTAGGGGACTCAGTCTTCATCATGGTTCACCAAATCTTCTGGTGTCGCTGACACCACATAGCCTCAGGCTTCCTCCACCCCCCCGGGCCACCCTGCCTCCTCTTCCTCCCTTCACCTCCAGCAGCCGCAATACAATCACATCGCGAGAACCCGAAAGGGGCAAGGCGGCACGGCACGCCGCTTCTTCTTTACCAGGCAGCGCTCATTGTGTGCCAAGGAAAAATGTGGTCAACCGGCGACGAGGGCGGCGAGGAGAGAACCGAATCCAAGGAGCTTCTGATCCACGGCGGTGGCAGCGGGAAGGCAGATCCTCCGAAGGGTCTGGATTAGCTGAGGCCCATTGCAGCCGGCTCGTCGGATGTGTTACACCTCCCCTTCATCCCCCCCCTCCTCCTCTTCCTCTCCTTCCTTGTCGTTTTCGCTCGCTCGCTTTTGCAGCGCGATGACGGAGACCAAACCCTTCTGCAAACGCCACAGCCTGTCGCTCCTTAAAAAAAAAAAAAAAGTGGAGGGGGGAGAGCAGAAGGGGGGAAATGAAAAGAAAGAGGGGGGGGAAACCGCTGGGTCTTAAAGTGATCACACTCCTTGCACCTCCCTCGTTTTCTGCTATGGCAGGAAAGGAAGCAAAAAAAAAAAGGGCAGCGACGCGTTCTTCCTCTCTTTTTCTCCGCCCCCCCAACCCCCCGTTGCTTTCTCTTTACCGAATAAGCGAAAATGAGTCCATCAATCCAATTGTAAGAGGAAGGAAGAGATGTGGTGGGGAGGGAACCTCGGCTACGCCAGCTTTTGGATTTACCTCGCCGATGAATTATTAAAAAAAATAATCATGACAATGTAATCCAATCCCTTCCGCGTGTCGTCTGTTTCACGCCTTATTGGCATTAGGGGGGAGGCGCGGTTTAAGGATTCGTGTCTACGCACACATATGCACCCATCTCACGTGTCCTTGCTCCAAAATTGGATTAACCGTGGACGCCCCTTCCCAGGAATTTGCCCACCCTGATATTTTCCAGTTCTTTGGGGACACTGTCACCTCCGAATCGCGGGCAGTGTCACTGATGCTGTGGAGATTCATCTCCATTTTAAGGCTGAGTTGTGTTATTGAATCTAGTAGGGGGAACACTTTATCTGATCCACTGGGAGTGTCTAGCCCTTGGCCCATGGGCCTCATGCAGCTCTGGACAGCTAATAATGTGGTCCCACAAGATCATAAACTTCTAATATTATTATGTGATTTGTATACATTAACTATGTTATATATTTGGCATAAAACAATTCCTCTTCACTCGGTGTGGCCTAGACAAGCCAAAAAGGTTGAACACCCAAAAAGTCCACAAAGATTGTTTATATTCATACAGTTCTTTTAATCTGGATGGGCATGAATAATCCATTTGCTGGGTCCCACAATACACTTAAGTTTTGCAAAACAGCTGCCAACATGTTAATTGAACATAGCCAAAACCTGTGCGCAACACAATGAATTTATTTGGGCCTACAAAAAAAAGTACATAAATAACAAACCAAGATACCACTATTATTTTTTAGTAAAATCTTTTTTGACTCAAAGGCATTGCCACCATGGCGGTGTATTTTATTGCCATCTTTTTCTCAGACAAATGTAATAGTTTATGCTCTTTTTACACTATTACAAAGTGTGCTTTGATAAATACAGTGCTTTTAAGCATTGTAAGTGAGCTTTCCTAATTATGTAAGTGATAAAACAAATGGAATAAGTTTGGGGGGGGGAACAAGTGCTTTGTAAATATGGCTATAGAAAAAAAAATCCATCCAGTATATTTAATTCCAAGGAGAAGGTTCTAACTTTAAAAAACATGCAAGGCCTGAAAATGAATGCTGCTGCTGCTGCACATGGGCACATAGAACAAATGTATCACTTACTTCAAGAATATTCCCTCTATTGAGACTAGAGAAAATAAATTACAAATCTTTTCCCCGGTGCCATGCTAGTCTGTATGCACAAACTTGCATTTGCTCATTCCTTCATTCGATAAAGGAAAATGTTCCAAAGTACAGTAAGATGATCTGATAATCTTTAATAGTTATTCAAAATATTGTTGTTAATGAAGCTATAAATTAGAATTCTCCATCTTAACTCATGAAGCGAAAGCATTCAGTACAGTTTGCTGTGCTTCCAGAAATAATTATGATTGATAGTGAAATGAACATGTTCTAAATTAGGAATAAAGACAGAATCAGTCCAATAGATTATCTAGGCTCAAACCTGCCAAGAGTGACTGGCAATGGAACTCCTAAAATGTTTTTTTTTTCAACTGGAGGTGCTAATTTTGTCATAAGTAGTGCATAACTGACATGATGCATCCACCCAAGTTTAACCTTGTACTGATTTAACCTTAATGTAAAGTGGGGCAGGGTGAGGCATATGTGAGTGAATGATTAGAACAATACATTTAGCCAGCTGTCACATGTCTGATCTACAAGTCACTGGTGTGGAGAAGTGAATATGGTGAAGCAGGGTGTGAACCCCGAGTGAACCTGTTCAGTTCAAACTCATCTCTTCATGTGTGACCTACTAGTCAGGCTAAACATAGGTCTAGCTAGTACACTTCTGAAAGAGTGCTAAACTCAAATAGAAAAATAGTGTAAGAAGTAGCACAGAAGTGGGACCCCGAATGAAGCAAGAAGCAATGATAATCAACAAGCTCTGTTCTCAACTAGTGTTGCTGGCAGTGAGTAACCAGAGTTCAGTTCTGATTTCACTGCTAGCAGCATCCAGGAAAAAAACCCCCATTAGATGGCCATGTGGTATGGAGAATAGTGACTGACCTGCATGTAATTACAAGAGTTAATACCATGGCATTTAGCCCCGCTAAAAACAAAATGGATAAAGCAAAACATATCCCTAAAATAATAAAAACAGTATAGTTGTGTACAATTTCTCTTTGGCAAAAACAATGGAAAACTGAAATTGATCCAATGGTAACAAAAGGAACAATACATAACTGGAAGAATATGGCTTTTTCCTAGTTTAAATCAACTTATACAGAAGGGGTGTCAAACTCGCAATGTCACATGACGTTTCGCGACATATTGTGACTTTTTTTTTACCATTGCTAATAGGGTGGGCGCAGTTTTGCTATGATGCATCCAGCCGGCAGTTTGACATCCCTGTTATACAGGTTGAGACTAACATACTTGAAAAAGACCAGTAAACCTATATTTATAAGAGACAAACTCTTAGGAAAGTGGTAGATAAGTATTGTCCATTCTCTTTTATAATCCAAGACAATCTGGTCATGGAAGGAATTTCTCAGAGACTAATGGGAAGTGGCATATCTGAAGCAGCCTAAAGTAATCAGTGGAGCCAGACAGATCTTAATCTGAAGTGCCAGAACATATCCATGACAAAAACTGTTTTGGGAAAAGAGAAAAATACTTTAAATTTGGAACAGCTAAACTTGACTCTACCTGGAGAGATGTCAGTACAACTGATGGTGAGGATAAGATGAAGATAATAACTTGATGATATGGCATAAAAAATAGATAGCAAGATACCATGTCTCTGCCATAGTTAGGAGAAAATAAAGAAGAGCCCAAACCTATGAGAAAAATGTAACTATTCTCAGTATGTTATACAAATATAATCACTAAGTTTCGATTAAGCTTATCATTTGAACACTGAGAAATACTGATATTGCATTATCTATAAACTTTTGAATTCCACTTTAATTGCTTTCAAACATTTTGATTGTTGATTAATTAATTAATTAATTCATTCATTCATTAAGTCTCATCAACAACCTATAAGAGGCAACAAAGAGGACTACTGCTGGACCATCATCAATTTTTATGATGAACTGATACCATCATTTGAATCATGCAAAGCAGAGATTGCTTGCAAAAATTATTTTGTGATGCCTCTTTCTCATTATTCATTAAAGAAAAATACTATAGGGATGTGATTTGCATAAAACAGAGGCAATTTGGAGAACATGGTTCATTTTACGAAAGTTCCTCTATTTTACTCCTAAAGGCTACAACCAATGACCATTTTAAAATTATTCATTGCATAGTACAGAGACTGCAAAATAGGATGCTCTCAAGGGTGTTCATATGGCAATGGGTATTTACAAAATCAATCTTAGCAAATACTCATAGAAAATGTCCTTTTTAAATGTAATATTGTTTTATTAAGAGTGTATTTAAGATATCCTGTGTGTACACATTTTCCAGTTACATTGAAGCATGCACAGTATGTTTTGGAAGAGCTACTATTCTGTTGATTATGATGTGTAGCAGAGTTTTTCAATCTCAGGAACTCTAAGATATGTAGACTTCAACTCACAGAATTCCCCACCAGGAAATTGTGAGAGTTGAAGTTCACACATCTGAAAGTTGCCAACTTGGAAAAGCACTGATCACTGTCCTGATATTTTTTTTATTGTCAAATTAGGCCATGTAAACTAGCGATACGGTGCTCATTTTTTGCTTGTTATAAGTATAGCTGGATTACGTCTACTTTTACACTTTATTGGGAATATTACTATATTACAGAAGTTACATATAAGATCTAAATTAGTCCTCATGTAACCGTTTCAAAGAACCCAAAGCTGCTTTGTTCAGCTGAAATGTGTCATCTGTGAACAATGATATGAAATGAGGAAAAGACAACTTTTGAACTAATACAATATAAGTAAAATTGTCTTACATAGACACAGGTTTCTAGTAGTTTGCTTTAGTCAATGGCTTCTTTCAGGATAGCTTTTCAACTTCCTAGTCTAATTTGCAGTCCTGGTCTTTCCAAACAGATCCCCATCTGAATGGTAACTGAGCCAGCTCTGTTTAGCTTCCTAGGTCCTCTGATTGGCCAGATACTAAGTTTTGCACCCTTTCCACTTCACTGCCCTTTCACATATTACCCAGTAGCGAATTTAGTTTGCCAATTTCCTGATCCATAAGGGGGCCTTTTGCTTAGTATGATAAATGAACCTTCCCATAATGGTTAAGCACTCTATTTGAGCCAAGCCATTATAAGTTGTTGTAC